CTGTCTTGAAAAACCAAAAAAAAAAAAAAACCGTTACAGATCGGATATACTGCTAAAAATGCTCACGCCCCAATGCATAATGGCACTGGCCTGTAACCCAGCACTCACCAGGCAGAGGCAGAAGGAACACCATACACTGGCCAAAACCTATTCATGCCTTTTTACTCAGAAATGGGATTTCTCTATGGTAGACAGAAAATGACAGGCACAATAAATCATGTATAGACTTTAGTAGAAGCTAAACATTCAATAGGTGACAGCTACCTAAATGACCTTTGACTAACCAGTATGAATCAGGTGTCACTGAAAACAAGGATTTCAAGCAACTTGAGGAAACAGGGAAAGGCCCATTTATATAATCTAAATTTTAAAATGATACACACACCTCATACCAGTTTGTGGTTATAAAAGATGGGATTTTTTTCCCTTCTGCTTTTTTTGTATTTTCTAGACAAGTCATATATTTTTATGAAGTTAATAAAACAATGAGTGAAGCCGGGTGGTGGTGGCACATGCCTTTAATCCCAGACTCGGGAGGCAGAGGGGGGTGGATCTCTGTGAGTTTGAGACCAGCCTGGTCTACATGAGCTAGTTCCAGGACAGGCTCCAAAGCCACAAAGAAACCTGTCTTGAAAAACCCCCTCAAAAAAAATTAAAACAATGAGTGGGAAAATCAGGCTCACCTTTCTTTTTTTAAAGATTTTATTTATTTATTATGTATACAACATTCTGCTTTCGTGTATATCTGCACACCAGAAGAGGGCACCAGATCTCATTACAGATGGTTGTGAGCCACCATGTGGTTGCTGGGAATTGAACTCAGGACCTCTGGAAGAACAGTCAGTGCTCTTAACCTCTGAGCCATCTCTCCAGCCCCTCACCTTTCTTTAATTTCCAATTTTAATGTAAAATATATTTCTGAAAGGTATATTATAATGAAACATTGAAATCACTCATTCCACACCTTGCTGTTACCTAAATTTAAGGTGCATGAATAGATATTTGCTATCTACATTAAACAGTCACATTTTAATATATTTCAATTTACTATTAGTGAGACAGGGTCTCACTATGCAGTCTTGGCTGACCTAGAACTGGCTATTTGGCCAAGGCTGCCCTCAAAGTCAGAGATGTGCCTGCCTCTGCTTCCCAAGTTAAGACATGTGACAACACACCTGGTCCGTTTCTCAAACTGTTACACAGTAAGCAGTAACTTCTTCATATTTTCTATGTAGTGTCATCCAAAAAGACTCTAAAATCACCTATTAATTCTGAAAAGTGTAAATCTAAGTTTTGGGTTTATTGCTTTTTAGTTAGCAAGGAATAGGTTTCATTTTTGATATTTTCATACATGTATGCTGTTGTACTCTGCTCATATTTACCTCCCTGTTACCCTCCCCAGTCCTGTCCTTTCCCAATAGTCCCCATTTTGCTTTCATTACATATATATATATATATATATAATTATTCTTTTTTTTTCCAGACAGGGTTTCTCTGTGTAATTTTGTAGACCAGGCTGGCCTCGAACTCACAGAGATCCACCTGCCTCTCCCTCCCAAGTGCTGGGATTAAAGACATGTGCCACAGCCATCACCCACAGCAACTTATTGTTATTACAATGCTTTCACTATACACATGTTATGTGCTACATTAATGTTAGTTCAATTAATCTATTATATGTTCGTTAAGATGACTGAAACGCAACATTTTCAAAATGTAACTCACCAATACAATCTATATTTTAGTAATTTATAAAGTGAAGCTCTGGGTGAATTTAAATGTGGAGCCTACTGTTAAAGGTTACACTTGTGAAACTAAGGACAGTCGTGCCTAAATCTGATACCTTAAGTGTGTCCAGTATACCCCGATCCTTAAACGTCTGGTATAGCTTTTTGCGCAGTTCATCTTGACTCAACACATCACACTTGAGGGACATGGCGGACTGAAAGAGAAAATGATGAGTTACCTAGAGGCAAAGGGGGACCTAGATTTCAGAAGGCAGACCAGTGGCCTCCCGGAAAGCCCTAAGATGTTTAGCGGGGCTTTAAGGAACATAAACAAGGAACTTCCTTTCTTAAAGACCCTGGGAAGTGGCAGGTGGAACTACCTGGGCCATTGTTATCTGCTTCCTCTCGAGTTCAGCCTTCTATGGCCAGACTCCGTGGGCCGGGCCGGGCCGTGAGTGGAGAGGGAGCCCCCGACCTCCGAGCCCAGCCTCTGTCTCTGGGTACCCGGGAGAACGAGCTGAGCATTCAGCCCATTACACCGGCAAGCAAGCGCAGTTCGAAAGGGTGGGCGGGGCCGTGACCCCGGAGGGACTCTGGACCAAAGAAAGAGGAAGACCAGAAGAGGGGGACCAAAATCGACCGCTCAGCAGACAGTTTTCACTGCTCCGTAGCTCAAGCAAACGCTGCTCCCGCCGTCAGCCGGCCCAACGTATAGACCAAACGTAAACGCCACCGGTTGGAGCGCTGTGACGCATGCGCGAACTCAGGTCGCTCGGCCACATCTCGCGAGAGCGTAGCCTCAGCTCTCGTGGGCGTGACCCGGGTTTCCCGGCTGAAACAACGGAACCCGGGTTTCCGAGGCGGGCTTTTTTGCCGTCAACTTCTACCTACAGGTAAGATTTAGAGGGAAGTGGCTGGGGGCGGGCGTTCCGGGTCCGCCAAAGACGTCCCAGGCCCTGCGTGAAGCGGATGTTGGGCTTGTATCTCTGTCCTGACCTGACATCCTAGCCAGCCTCCGGGGCCGCTTAATCACTGTTCTCCCAGTAGATAGAACCCCCGTTTCCACATGTTCTCGAGGTCAGACAGCCCATTATATGTCCACTACAGAGCCATTACAGTGGTCTGTTCCCATTAAATGCCAGTAATACCCTATTCCCGCACACACCTGCCTCCGAATTTTGACAGATGCTCTCAGAAGCAAAAATCGCATCTTGTTGAGAACCTCGAGAGTTTAATTTTATAGAAAACCCTCATTGTGTGTATGCTGTCAGAAAGATGAAGGTGAACCAAGTGCCAGGCATGTCTAGCTCAGATTATAGAGATCCGGGCGTGGCGGCTCACCTGTAATCCCAACACTGGGAAGACAGGCAGTATTGCTTAAAGTGCGATGTCAGTTTTGGGCTATGGTATACCTGAAGAAGAAAATGAAAATCTGGGGCTGGGAAATGTAGTTTAATTGATAAAGTACTTGCTTAGCATACACAAAGCCCTGGATTAAATCCCAGGCACTGCATTGCAAAACAAAACCCCCACAGTATTGGTGGAGGTAGGAGGATCAGAAGTTTAAAATCGTCCTTCACTACTTGGCGAGTTGGACACCAGTCTGGCATAAATGAGACCCTTTATCAAAAAAAATTAACTTTAATTGGAAAGAAAAGAAACCAGAATCCCTAGAAGCAAGAGGAAAAACATTGCAGTCAGCGAATTAATGATGACTAAGAAGTCTTGTGGACTGAATAGTTTAGCAAGAAAGGTGGTTGCAGGTGGAAGCGAATGAGGACACCTCTATGGAGAAAGTGTGATTTTTCAGGGCCTTGACTGGTAAAGCTTTTGAGCAGAATAGTGAAGACTGTTCTAAAATGATGCTGATGTGTTGTAAACACTGTTTCTAAATAGCATCAGTGCCCAAAGATATTTGAACTCTTCACCGTCTTTGGTCCCAAAGTTAAATAGAAGTAGATTTAGTGGTCTCTAAAAGCCAACATAAGTTCACTTGGGGGTGAGGACATTGCTTCTGATATTATAGGGACATTCTCCCATTGGAGATCTGTCAGTGGTGGTCATACTGTCAGTGGTGGTGTATTCATACAGCTCCTCATTGCACCAGACATGTTCCATGCAACACCAGTTTAGTTTTACAGTCTGTAATTTGTAGAACAAATGAAACTACTGCTGTCAGGAACATAGGGCAGTTTCTAGAGGTTCCTCCAGAGACTGTGGAGAGATTTCCTATAAAAAAATGGATTTTGAATTGGGGTGTATGAGTTTTCTCTTGTATTTGCTGCTAACTTAAAATGCTTAACTTGGAAAGGATTTTCTAAGTCCATCCTCCTGCTCTTTCACTGGGGGTATTCCACCATCATGAATTTTAGCTTCCTGATAACTTCGGATGACAGCCCTAGGTTTGGCCTCTAGAGCAGTTTAGAATAAGTCTGTCAAGCCCAGAATTAGCAAATACTTGGCTTCATGCGAGTGCTGCACTCCCTAAAACTCATAGCTGACATGAATAATTGATCACAGTTATTCACTGCTGACCACACTGTTTCCCAGCACCAACTCGAGGCAGTCATACCAGCTGATTAGATTTTGCTCTCAAGAAAGCCTTTGCTGTCGCTGGTGAAATCCCTTTCTACCAGACATTGTATTGTATTTCAATAATATACTAGACCCCTGTCCACCAAAAAGACACTTCCCACTTAGTTTAAAATACCCTCAGTTCCTTCTGTTGCTCTTGTTTTGTTTCCAGAGCATTCTTTGTTAAATCCCACCTTCCCCTAACACGTTGTTTATTGTATCCATCCTTTTAAACTTTGATTCCCAGAACTGAGTACCTTCTGCAGAGAATTTAATGAAAATGACAGCAGTACTTTTCCCCACTTTACTAGGACACTGTCTTATTCAGCTTTGGTTGTTGTTTTGTATTTTAGATTTATTTGTTTTAAAGTGTGTGTGTGTGTGTGTGTGTGTGTGTGTGTGTGTGTGTGTGTGTGTGTAAGTGCAAGTTAGTACAGTTACCCACAGAGGCCAGAAGAAGGAATTAAATCCCCTAGAGCTGGAGTTACAGGCAGTTGTGAGTTGCCTGATGTGGGACCTAGGAACCAAAGTTGGGTCCTCTTCAAAAGCATTATGTTTTCTTACCCACTGAGCAATCTTTTTTTTTAATATTTCATTTATTTATTATGTATACAACATTTTGCTTCCATGTATATCTGCAGACCAGAAGACGGCACCAGATCTCATAACAGATGGTTGTGAGCCACCATGTGGTTGCTGGGAATTTAACTCGGGACCTCCGGAAGAGCAGCCAGCGCTCTTAACCTCTGAGCCATCTCTCCAGCCCCTGAGCAATCTTTTTGCCCCACTGTCTTACTCTTCATGAAGACTAGAATGCTTTAGCTTTCTGTTCTTGACATGTCATACTGCTTACTGAGCAATAAATTCAAACTTTTGGGTTCATATTTTGGTTTTGCTTATACTGAATGGGCTACTGTACAGGAAAAGGTGTTGGCATGGAGTCTGACCAAAACCAGCCAGGTAATACCTATTTATGTTTTCATCTCTGGATATACCCCTTTTACCTGTTTTTGAAGATAAGAATAACATTTACCTATTTCTTGGCATCTGTGTCTCTGTGGCTTCTTTAATGTCACTTAACAATAGATGTAGATTTGTTGCTCTAAGCTGTATAATTTGTCAGGACCTGAAGATTTGTTTGAATTGAAATGCCTAGGAGTTTTCCTGATGTCTAATATGGCTTGCTGCTGAGAAGTCATGCTTTATAACAGAGAAAATAGAAATTAAGCAGATTTGCATCTTCGGTTATTTCAGTGTATACCCATTGCTGGAAGCCCTGCTTTTCCTAAGGGTAACCTATAAAGGCATTTGCTTTTCTTAACATATTTCATACACTTCAACTCTTTTACATATTTTGCTCTTTTTCATGGAGCTTGGCTGGCTTTGAACCCATGATCTGCCTGCCTTTGCTTCCCCACTACTAGGATTGAAGTGCCTGGCTTAATCTCTCTATTTGGGATAAGCTAATAAGAACCTTTTCTATCCACAGGAACCATAGCATGTTCAAAAGTTCAGATATTAGGATGTGGACATCTCCAGAGAAGGAGGGTCATTAATCAGGCTTATCTGAGCTAGGTATTTTGAAATCATCCTGGATTCTTCCTTTTTCCTCTGTGCTGATATATAATCTACTACCAAGCTGTGTGTATGTCCACCTCTTCAGACTCTCCTTGTAGAGATGCTTCAGGGGTCTCTAGGGCATTGAAGAAAATGAGGAGACTCATAAATTGATCAGCACAGGCTCTTTTAACCACAGCAATTACTTTGTGTTTGTTTGTTTGTTTGTTAGTTCTCATTTTGAGACCGGATCTCACTCTAGTTCAGACTGTTCTGGAACTCACTGTTTAGTTCAAGTTGGCCTCAGAGTCAGTGACCCTCCTGCCCCAGTCTCCCAAGTGCTGGGAAAACGGGCATGAGACAATTTGTATTTTATATGTTGGAACTCTAAATTGTAGTACTTGTTTTGTGGGTGGAGAAGGTACAGAGGTTTTGTGAAGAGTAGAGTTGAGCTGCTCAATTGGAAGTGCTAGCCTCACACACATACTTAGTTCAAACCTATAAATTAAAAATTCAGTTCTGTGGTTATACTAGCTATATTTCAAATGCTTAGAGGCTTCCATATTAAACTGTACTATTGTAGAACATTTCTGCCTTGGCAGAGGGTTCATTAGCAGGGACAACAAAGATGTGTCACCTTTGCCCACTACCCAGTGTGAGGTAAACCTGAGAAGAGTTGCTAAAAGGTTGTAGATGCTCCCTTCCTGAGTCGAAATGCTGCATGCTTTCTCTTAAGTATGGGATCTAGGTTGAATGACATTTGCACATGGAAGTAGAAGTGGGAACTATTTGAGAGAGGGCATTTGTAAGAAGGAGCAACAAGAGAGAACGGTGAAAAAGTGGGATGATCAAAGTGCATTGCACATGCATGAGGATGTCCTGAGAAAGCCATTGTTTTGTGCAGTTAATAAGTTCTAAGGGAAAGATCTGTCTCACTGTCCAGCTGGATACGTTGTAAGAGAACCCTCATATGACTGTCTTCTGGTTCCTATTTTTATCTCAGGCTATCCTTAGACACTAGGCTTCTTTAGCATTTGCACAGCCCATAAAGGACCAAGTGTGGGGCATGATTTGGGTTATCTTTCTTGTGCATGCACTTCCTTCTTCTGTCCAGGACCCCCCCCCCTCTTATGCTTAAAAATATGTGTGCTGAGCAAAGTAAATCCCTCCCTTGGCAAACTGTAGCCCTGCAGCCTATTCTAGCCAGAATTTTTGGTATCATTGTTTAGTAGGTTAAAATTTCAAGTTCTCTCTCCTTTCCCTTTCTCTGAAACTTCTACCAAATCTCCCTAGCTTTGCATAGCTATTCTAGTATTCCTGTTTGTATTTGTTTCACACTTTTACTATTGGACTCTTTTCCTACCTCTCTTCTAAAACAAGCAGCTTTTTCTGGGAAGGACTGAATAGTAAATACTTTTGGCTGTGTGTGCTAAATGGTCTCTGTTGCTGATACTCAGCTCTTCTGTTAATGGAGGAAAGGCAAGTTTTAGACCATAGTAAGAGGATGCATGAGGTTATATTTTGGCCTGCAATCTGCAGGTGTAGGCCCCTGTCCCAGATAATGTTCTAAATATTAATTGTCCCCATCGAATCTCTTGTTTGTATTCCACAATCATAGCTTTCCAGTTTGAACTAGAAGTGCTAATTTTGCCTTGCTTTCTCCTTCATTAGGAAACACATTTCCGATTTCTTTGGATTTCACTGTGTGAATCAGCAGAAGACCCAGAGAGTCTTGGTGAGTTGTGGTCTCTCACGTCCTCAGATGTCCAGGAAGCTGACTGGACACTTGTGGTTGACTAGATTCCCACCCCACATTGAGGAGTTACTAGTTGTCAATCCCAGTGTCATACATTCTTCTGTGTTATTATACATAACAGTTATTGAGTACTTGTTAGCCAGACATCCTCCTTTAGAATTTCATGCTTTACCTATGTTCAGTTTGGGTCTTGGTACTGAGGACTAAAAGTGTGTGATTTTTTTTATTTGATTAGGAGCTATATATTGAAGATAATGTCTGGAAGCTTCTACTTTGTAATTGTTGGCCACCATGATAATCCAGTTTTTGAAATGGAATTTTTGCCACCTGGGAAAGCAGAATCCAAAGTATGTATGCAACCTTAAACTTCGTAAGAATTTTTAGGCTGTTTGTAATGGTATAGAATAATAGTGTTTTAGAACTGAAATAGATCTGGAGAGATGAAGCCACTAAGATATAGCAACAATTAAATAAGACTTTCTCTGGAGTCCCAGACTTTTAGAAACCAACTAGGGAAGAAGTGCCACTCACTATGAAATGCTTTTTAAGCATATGCAAATATAGCCCACCTGTCAAGCTCCTAAAACAATTTTTGTTGCCTCAAAATGCCACAGTAGTCCATTCTGTTTCAGTAAATCACATTTTTCAGCAGAACAGACATAGATCATTTTACACCTGAGCATTAAAAAAGAACCTTACTCCCATATGTTGTCCTTCTGTCACTGGAACTATAGCACTTCCTATCAGTGGCTTTTGCAGCATTGCTTACATTGTCCCCATTGTACAATCTTAAGTAGGAGGTATTTTTCAGCTATTCAAATTGTGCCACCAAAATACCAAAGCAATTTGTTTACAGTATTTTCTGCCATTTATTGGTACTGTGTTTTTTCAAAGCTTTGTCTTCAGGAAAACACTTAAATTTTGTTTTGAGGTAGTGGCAGCAATAGCTCCATGCAAGTTGCCACTTGCATCCAGTTTCTGTGCACTCCAGAGGCCTATTGGGTAGCAGCACATCAAAATACTTTTTAACTTGACTTGGTCTTAGCACTTTCTCTGGCTACCATCACCTTCTTTTTTTGGAGGGGGGAGTTTCCAAGGTAGGGTTTCTCTGTGGCTTTGGAGGCTGTCTTGGAACTAACTTATAGAACAGGCTGGTCTTGAACTCACAGAGATCCGCCTGCCTCTGCCTCCTGAGTGCTGGGACAAAAGGCATGTGCCACCACCACCCGGCTACCATCACCTTCTTAAAGCATCTCCGCAGTGTGTGCCCAATTCTTCTAGAATAATCATCAGTGTACAGGCATGGGAAACACTGCTGAGCAACAGGCACAAAATATATCCATTTCTCTAAGGATTCAGGTATCTTTGGCATGGCAGCATTAGGAATATAAACATAGTTTAGTTGTGCAAGGGTTCCTGGGCAACTAGCGACCTTCCACCAGCCCCATTCTGGCAACAACCTCCTGAATAAGAAGGTTATACTACTTTCCTATGACTGTCAGTAGCACAGTACTGAGAACTGAGTGGCTTAGAACAGAAATGCATTGTAGCACAGTTTTAGGAGCAAATGTCTGAAATTGAGGCCTTGGCAAGGCCACGATCCTTTAGAAGGCAGTTCCCTTGGCTTGTGGCAGCATAATACTAGTCATCTGACAGCATTCTCCTTGTGTCCATGTGTCCAAATCTCCCCACTTATTTTTTGTCGGGGAGGATGTGGCAGAGTTTCACTCTAGCCCTGACTGGCCAGGAATTCACTAGATAGCCCAAGATGGCCTCCAATTCATGGTTGATTCTGTCCTCACCCTCCTTATTGCTGGTGTTATAGGTGTGAGCCAGCACACAATACGAACCTTTTTCCAAGGACATCAAGAACACTTGACTAGAGGCCCACTCTACTCCATAGTGACCTCATTTTAATTAACCACATCTGCAGTGACCCTCTTTCTAAGTAAGGCCATATTCTGAGGACCATATGAGTTTTATCAAGGAGAGACTAGCAGTGGTTCTCAACCATCCTAATGCTGCAACCCTTTAATTCAGTTCATGTTGTGGTGATCCCCAACCATACAATTATTTTCATTGCTACTTCTTAACTTTAATGTTGCTACTGTTATAAATCATAATGTAAATATCTGATATGCAGGTGATCTTAGAAGAGCCCTGTGAAAGGGCTGTTTGACACCCAAAGGCGTCATAACCCAAAGGTTGAGAACCACTGCTATATATTATCTATATCATAGCAGGTAGTTTTTGAAAAATGGACATTGTGAAAGAGAATTCTACAGAAGTAAGACTACATCCAGGTTGTGAATGTCCCCTCTACATAATAGACATTCCTACCTTCTTTCCAGTTAGGCCATTTAGCCCACAAAGAGAACACTTGTGGTTGTGACAGTACTGTTTTTACTATTGACAGAGATGACAGTTCATGGCTGGGGCTGAATGTGACCTCCTTCCCCATCTCAGATCCCAGATCCCAAAGCCATGTAAGCTCTTGTTCTGCAAGAGGCCTAACATATCATATCTGTCTGCTGTTTCTGCTCAAGAAGCCTGGCTCTCCCTGTTGTGTCTGGCTATTGAGGCCACATGTGCATAGCATACCTTTGCATCTTTCCTTGACATCCACTTTGGTCTAGGAAAAGTGCCCTCTTTGATCTACATTTGGGGTTATAGGTGTTTCTTCACAAACCTTGTGTGTTTCTCTTCTAATAAGATATGGGCTTCCGGAAAGTAGGGTCTGCCTTATTTCCCCCATTAAAAATAGTAGTCTTAGCCGGGCGTTGGTGGTGCACATCTTTACACCTTTAATCCCAGCACTCGGGAGGCAGAGGTAGGTGGATCTCTGTTAGTTCGAGGCCAGCCTGGTCTACAGAGTGAGTTCCAGGACAGCCTCCAAAGCTACAAAGAAACCCTGTCTTGAAAAACCAAAAAAAAAAAAAAAGTAGTAGTCTTTCCTTGTATGATTAAAAAGTTATAGAATTTGGTAATTGACTTCTTCCAGCATTCAAAACAAAATGTTTAATAGTTTCTTGAGGACATTTATTAATTGACTGTTCCTATTATTTATGAGTGATAGATATCAAGACTATAAAAATAATCTTTTGCCAGGCAGTGGTGGCACACATCTTTAATCCCAGCACTCAGGAGGCAGAGGCAGGCAGATCTCTGTGAGTTTGAGACCAGCCTGGTCTACAAGAGCTACTTCCAGGACAGCCTCCAAAGCAATACAGAGAAACTCTGTCTTGAAAACCAAAAAAATAATAATCTTTTATGTCTCATGATGACAATACATGAAGTAAATGCAAAAGAATCCTCCCCTAAGAAAAACAAGTATGTACAGAATGAAAACCAGGCATGCTGGTGCACACCTGTAATACTAGCACCTGGGAGGCTGAGGCAGGGTCAGGAGCTCAAGACCATTCTAGGCTACATAGTAAGGCCATATCTAAAATAAGAGAAAACACACAACACACACAAATTGACAGAATTTCAGAATGAATTGTCTGTGGTCCCAAAACCATATGGAAATGTTCATCTTTCTCCATTCTCTGTCATATAGGATGATCACCGCCATCTGAACCAGTTCATAGCCCATGCTGCTCTTGACCTTGTGGATGAAAACATGTGGCTTTCTAATAACATGTACTTAAAAACTGTGGACAAATTCAATGAATGGTTTGTATCGGCATTTGTCACTGCAGGGCATATCCTTTCCTTACGTTGTACATTGCTTTCTGTTTCCATTACAAACATCATAACAAAAACCAACTACAGGAGGAAAGGGTTTATTTAGCTTACACTTTCCAAGTTACACTCCATTGTTGAAGGAAGTCTGGGCAGGAGTTCAAACAGAAACTGAAGCAGAGACCATAGAAGAATACTGTATACTGGGCTTGCTCAGGCTTATATTCATCTACCTTTCTTACACAGCCTAGGCCCACCTGCCTATGGATGGTACTAACTACAGTAGGCTCATCCCTCCTACATCAGTTAGCAGTTAAGAAAACGCCTCTCAGACATTATCACAAACACTTAACCAAAGACTGAGTTAGAAAACAAGAACTTGAAACATACAGGCAGAGTCTCTGAATTTGAAGACTTCAAAGAGTCAGGCTGAGATAAAAATTTTCCATTTATGAGGTCTTTTTTTGTAAACACATTTTGTTTAACCAATAATTTTAAAGTGTCTCACATGTAAAACTAGGGTTTATCTGAACCGTACCAAGGGCTATTTCACTTTATCTGTTTCCTAACTTTAAAAGATTACATTCTCCTTAAGGTAAAATTACATTGACTTTAAGCCAGCTTATATATTCAGCTTTACCATCACAAAATATACTTCATGTGACTAATATGGAGATTATCTTATCAGGTGATTACTTTGAATTTTTCATTTCTAGTAAATATTATGCCTTAACTTTTTCACATATGAGATTTATTATGCTTCATGATGTGAGGCAAGAAGATGGAATAAAGAACTTCTTTACTGATGTCTATGATTTGTATATAAAGGTATGGTATATTCTATAATTTAAAATAATCTGATTTTTAAAAAGGATAGGGCTAGGGCTGGAGAGATGGATCAGTGGTTAGGAGCACTGATTGCTCTTCCAGAGGTCGAGTTTAATTCCCAGCAACCACATGGTGGCCCTCAACCATCTGTAATGAAATCTGGTGCCCTCTTCTGACATGCAAGTGGACCACTGTATACATAATAAATAAATAAAGACAATTTCTAAAAAAAACAGATAGGGCTAGAGACATAGTCCTAATATCTAGGCAGAAAAATTGTTTCTCTTATCAGTAATAATTCCACTTTAGTGTTTTCTCACATATGTTATGAAGCATGTTAAAGGATTAAATTAAAAGGATTACAAGGCACAGTGGCAGGGGTCTTTAATCCCAGCACTTGGGAGGATCATGAGTTTGAAGCTAGCTGGGCTAACCAAGAATTTGAAAAAAAAATGACTGTACTTAATAGCAGTATGTTATAACATTTTTTTGACTGAACATCTGAAACATTTACCATTTGTTTACATAATTCAAAAGGCCATATAAATTATATCCACATTTATAATTAATAAAAGGTAGATACAAGATCCACGTTAATGTATATAGGCCTAAAAAATAAAGCCATTAGGTTAGCTGCAGGTACTTCTCAGAACTAAAAATATTGGAAAACAGAATTCCTGAAGAGGTGCCAGGAAGGTGATGCATGCCTGTGATCACAGCACTTGGGAGACAGAACTGGAAGATCAGGAATTGAAAGTCAGTCTCAGATACATGAGTTTGAGGCTGCTTTGAATTACATAATACTCTATCTCAGACAAACAGGTGTGGTAACATAGGCCGAAATTTCAATACCTGGGAGACTGAAAGGATTACAGTGAGTTTAATGCTAGTCAGAGTTCAAGACTAGGCTAGGCGAATGAGAAACTATCTCCCAGAAAAATTTAAGGGGATGTTTTTGTTGCTTATGTTTTAAAGATTATTGTTGCATTTTTTGTCTCTTTGTGGGGCTGGGGTGCTGGGGAGAGGTGGCACCTACCATGATGTTCATAATGGAGAGAGGTCCAGGCAGCTTGCAGGAATCAGCCCTCTCCTTCCACCATGTGGGTCCTGGGGATGGAAGTCTGGTTGTCAAGCATGCCTTTAGGCACTGAGCCACTTTGCCTTTTTGAGACAGTCTCATGTAACCTTACCTGGTCTTGAACTCACTATGCAGCTAAAGCTAGCCTTGAATTCCTGATCCTCCTGCACCTCCCAACTGCAGAAATTACAAGGGAATGCACATACACCTGGCTAAGATGTTACAATTTAACAATCCTTTGTGAAGGCATCCTTTGTGAAGCCCATACAAATGCCCTGGGTGTGCTTTTCTTCCTGGGTGTCTTTCTCTTTAACCCTCATGATTATATTCTATATTTAAGTACCTTTTTAAAAATCCCAATTCTGCTTCTTAAAAAAATTAACAATGAAGCACTTTCAAAGAAAATTAAAAATGATACTCAGGCTATTGTCTTGCTAAATTTTAAGTTAAAATGTAATTTTCCTTTAGCAACCTGTGATTTATTAGCCTCTTTCCATTAACAGACTCACTAATACCTTCTTCTTTCCTAGTTTTCGATGAATCCATTTTATGAACCCAATTCTCCAATACGATCAAGTGCATTTGACAGAAAAGTTCAGTTTCTTGGAAAGAAACACCTTTTAAGCTAAATGGAGAAAAACTCTGAAATAAACAGTATCGCCATCATGGTGTATACTCAGGAATGTGTGCACTGTAAGTCATCTGAAATAGCCTTGAAAACTTTCACTTAAAATTGTTTTCATGTTGATTATCAGCATTAATATTTGCTTGTGAACAGTGTTATTTATAAGGAGCTCTTTACCAGTAATTGTAAATGTTTTTATTTAAAAGCTTGAGAATGAACTTTTGACTTTTCTGATTGAAATAATTTGATCTTAATTTATTAATTCAAAAGCAAATGTCATAGTTAATATTTGTTAGATGTATTTAAAATGAAATGCTTCTGCAGACATGAATGAAATTGAGTTACTTACACTTTTAAAGAGATTCTTTTAAAATGCATAGTACACTACAGTACCAAGACGCTGAAGCAGAAAGCCTCTGCAATGCCGAGTGTTACATGCCTGCCTGCTTCTAAACCCTAGACCTGTATACACTGGACCAGTTACAGACCACAGCAAAATGTGTTTCCTTTCTCCTAGTAAACTTTAATGAAAGTTTAATGAACATGTTCTATCTGTACTTAAAAATGTTGTAATACAGCTTTGGTATTGCTAATAAAAGTCTGGGTTACACTGACATTTGCACTTAGCCTTTTAGGCTATATATAGAGTGGGAGGTAGCAGATGTGGCTTCTTCTATAAGAAATGTTGGTTTGATTTTTACAATGGCACATATGCATGGAAAAACAAGTAAACCAGCTTAAACAAGTAAACCAGCTTTTCGTGTACACACTGGAAGACTTTTTCCATTCTAATTTTTGAGTAAGTACTTACAAGCCTTCTTGTATCCTTTTGTGAAGTTGTTACCATCACTCTTTGATTTCTTAAATACTTACATTCAAGATTGTGGTAGTTAAAAGCCTACTTTTAAAATGCAGCCCAACACCAACACTTTTTAAATCCCATTTTCCTACTAAAGTCTGAAAACTAATATGGCATATCTCAACAGCTCAGATCACAGATCACCTTTCACTAGCTGCCAAAGGCACTCAGGTAAAAATCTAGAACTTGAGGCTGGAGAGATGTTACTCAGCGGCTAAGAGTATGTTCTGGAGAAAAAAAGTGTATGTTCTGTTCTTGTAGATGACTCAGGTTGGCTTCCCAGCACCTAGGTGGAGCAGTTCTAGAGGGATCCAGTGCCTCTGGCCTCCTTGAACACCTGCACTTGCAGGCACATACTATTAAAAATAATAAATCTTTTTTAAAAAAATCTGTTACTTGGAACAATACTAAAAGGAGAGGCCCAAATATATACTTATCATATACAACTTGTCTCACTCTCAGTGAGCACATAACCCGAACCCAGGGAGGTGCTGTTAATTCCAGACAGCCAGCAGCATCATCATATTACAGCATGAAGTCAGGTGTGAGACTTGGCTTCTAGGCCTGGAGAGCACTAGAGGTACCTTGCAAAGAGCCTTTCTTTTCTTCAGGCTTATGAGGGCAAGATGGAAATAGGACCACTCACCTTGTATATTGCCAAAGTTAAGTACTAATTTACACATGAGACTGTCAAGTAGCTCAAGGGGAGGTCCACAATGACTGGGACCTCAGAGTGTTCAAATTGGAAAGCACCATTCGGGCATAGAGGCATGGAGCCAGAACCTGTGTAATGGCTACAGCATTAAGCAAGCTCATCTGACAAAGCTTAGATCTGACAGGTAATGTCCCTACTAGATGTGAAATTTTGTGTTGGCACTAAATTTACAGTATACATTTATACTCTAAAGGATCCAAATAAAAATACACAAACCTGTTTGTGTCCTTTCTGTAGCTGGAAATTCTTAGGGTACTTCACTCAGTATCATCCATGTTTTTGATGTATTTTTATTACATAGGCACCATTAACTATTCTGTCCATGCTACTACCCCTGTGGCTTTTTAAAGTAGGTGTGTGTGTGTGTGTGTGTGTGAGAGAGAGAGAGAGAGAGAGAGAGAGAGAGAGAGAGAGAGAGAGAGAGAGGTTTGGAGGGAGGGTACATATGCCATGGCTCAGGGTTTCTTCTCTGTGTAACAGCCCTGGCTGACCTGAAACTCACCAGGCTGGCCTTGAAAGCACAGAGATCTGCCTGCCTCTGCCTTCCAAGTGCTAGAATTAAAGGTGTGGACCACAAAGGCCTGGCATGTTTTAATTTTTTAAGACTCTCATACTTCCTAGTTGACAGTCCATAGCATCCTAGAAACCACAGACTAGCTAGATTGCCTAGATTCCTTCTCTGGGAACTTATATTGGTCCATTTTTTCCTACTTAACACTTTACTGCTCTTGGAGAGAACTTGCATCATGGCATTATTAGATTAATATGAAAAGTTAGTGTAGAGATGTAAAACAGTTTAGAGACAAGGGATGTCAACTACAAAGTTTCTCAGAAGGGTAAAAGAACCGAAATAATTCTGCTCAAGTGGCCAAATGCACCTTTTATCTCTTCACACGGAGAGTACACAGAAGGCTCTGTATTACTACACAGCTGAACCTTAGTTAGATATTACTGTAAAGAAAGTCAGACACCATATGGCGACTCTACCAGCAGGGCCTCCCTCCTCCGAAGCAGTGAACCATGACAGTTCCTACCATCTATCTGCTGTCTTCCTGGGCAGCTGCTTGTCACTACTTCCACTGCCTCACCACCTGCTTAGTTTCCCATCTCATGCTTTTCTGTATTGTCCATCTATGTCTAGGTAATAGCAGCCATCACTTTTCCTCAATCAAAAGAAAACCCTATCTTCATCCACCTCATGCTTATTTTTTTCCTTTCAATGTTTGCTACACTTTAATGCCAAGGCTATCCTCCTCTTCCTCATGGTTTATACAGTTGGTAGCGTGCATAATAGGTTAGCCAGTATTCACTGTACTCCTTTAACACGGTGCTGGGTACTTTCTCCATAGACACAAAACTTCTTTTGATCACTGCTTGCTGCCTATATATTTTCAAAACCAACTAGTATAATCCTTCATTTGAAAATATTTTTTAAAGTTAAAATGTTAAAAAAAAAAGTGGGTAGGGTTTTGCAACTGTGAAATCCCTGTACCTGGAGATAGAAGCTGGAAGGTCAGGACTTGTAAGCTTCAGCTACAAGAGTCTGTCTCATTAAACAAACAAAAGCTAAAGAGACATTCAATCTACAAATTAAAAAAATACACGTTCACTGCACTGGTGAACTCGGCAGCTGTGATTACCTGCACAAGATTGGGTGTGTTGACATTCCATTGTGGAGGAACTCATAGGCCCCACCCCCTTCCCTAAGGACTTACTGGTAGTTAAAATTTGTAGGAAGGAGGGGCTCATGAGGCTCCTGCCCCTCCCTGAGGATCTGTAAGCAGTTGATAGTTCCTTGAGGGGAGAGGAAATCGTATTCCTCAGTGGTATAGGCACTGGTAAAGTTGCCCAAGCTACTGTTAAATACCTATCCTCCAGAAAGTAGCCCTAAAACACACGTGTCTGTGTGTAATAAAAGCCTAAATATATCTATAGGCTGAGTTGTTATGTCCCCCTAAAATTCATGTTGAAACCTTAACCTCCAAAACCTGATTGTATTACCAAGTTCACACAATCTAAAATCATGTGGGAAGTCTCAATGGTTGATCACCTTGTTGAAGTGAAAGACTCACTCACTGTAGGTGACACCATTCCCTAAGCAAGGGATTCTAGACTGTGAACACTGGTGTCAGGTCCCCAAAAGATTCAGGACAAATAGCCATGACTGTATTCTCATATCTACAATAAAATCCTCAACCATACCTTGGAGTAGTCACACCCTGATTTCATTCATCTGGTGCTTGAAATCCAAGAGGGCATATATGAGCTCCCTTCCAAGGAACTCGGCCTCTCCTAGCAGAACCAAGCTGCTGATCTGACTCTCCCTTATGTGTGGATCATTTTTCTGGCTTCTGCCACCCACCATATCTGACTCCAAATTCTAGAGTTCACCTCTTCAGCTGCTTCTTCAAGTAGCATGCATGCATGTGTTGCTCTTTTCTGACTGTTCTCTGGAGCTCCTGCCATGATGGACTACAGGCTGGAACTGTGAACCAGAAAAAAACCTTTTCTTCTTTAAGTTGCTTTTGTTACAATATTTAATCACAGCAACAGTAAAATTAAAAAAAAACTAAAAATGTGACTATGTATAGGGCAGGGCCTTTGAAGAACTGATTAAACTGAGGCCATTTGGGTGGGGGCTTAATACAGTCCTGTTAATAGAGGATCAGGAGTTCAAGGCCAGCCAACACTATATGGAACTGTCTAAACCTATCCATCCAGCTACGTGTGAGTGTGTGTGTGTGTGTGTGTGTGTGTGTGTGTGTGTGTGTGTGTGTACATGAATGAAAGTTCACTGTAACATGAGTTTGAATTGCCCCAAATTTAAAATGTTCCCATAACAAAATTGTCCCTCTTGTTAGGAATTACTTTCAAAAAGTAAAGCTTACTGCAATTTGTTTCCTCCTAGTTTCCAATGGGTGGGGTCAAGAGAGACACTGATTATTTTTTCACATTCTACCATCTCCGAATTCCCAGCCTAGGAATTCACTCTCCTACTCTAGTATGTCCTTAATTATCATAGGGAAGGGTCTTAACCATATTATAGCAGCAATCAGGCTAGGCTATGATTGATATGCTTCCACGGGACAGGACTGTTGTCAGTGATACCACATATGAAATCAACTCATGAAAGAGTTTCTTATGAGACGAAAGAGCCTCAGTAACATCAGGCAGGCCTATAGGATGTGGGAGGACTCAGCCAATTGTGGGTGAGGCCTGGTGGTTCTCAGTTCTATATGAAAGCAGACTGAGCAAGCCACTAAGCAGGACCCCCTCCATGGCCTCTACATCAGATCCTTCCTTCAGGTTCCTGACTTCCTTTGATGATAAACAGTGATATGCATGTGTAAGCCAAATAAACCCTTTTCAAAAGCCTCAAGGTGCTTTTTGGTCATGGTGTTTCATCACAGACCGATGCTGCAAGTTGTCTTTTTAGAATAGTTTTGAGAGCAAATCACTCAACAGAGAAGATACCAAGGAAATACATGTGTAAACACAGTAGCCTTCATTACCCTCTCAGGAAGTACAATCTTGAGCTGAAAATACAGCTCACCTGTCATACATTTAAACATGGCAGCACAGGCTCATGCCTGTAATTCCTCAGATGGTGGAGGCAAGAAAACCAGAAGTTCAAGGTCAACCTGGAATACATGAGACTCTTTTAAAAGCTACCTCCTCTATTGGGAAGGGGGATATATGTGCATGCCACACAATTGAATAAATCAATGTGATGTTTTTTTTTTTTTTCGGGGGGGGGGGGGGTTCGAGACAGGTTTTCTCTGTGGCTTTGGAGGCTGTCCTGGAACTGGCTCTTATAGACCAGGCTGGTCTCGAACTCACAGAGATTCGCCTGTCTCTGCCTCCTGAGTACTGGGATTAAAGGCATTCGCCACCATTGCCCAGCAAGAAGTCATCTTAAAGAGATGAAGTGATCAAATCAAAAAAGCATGGCAACATAAAGAAAAGCATTAGATTTTAATCTTTAATAGTATCACTATAGTAATTTACTTCCCTGGACCAAGAATAGAATGCTAATTACATAAAAATATACACATATAAAAGTAATTCTCCATTTTCTTGTGGGGAAAAACAACCTAAGTGTAACTTCTAGAATAGTCAAGGTTTTTGAATTACAATTCAATTCTTGGTCATCTTATTAGCACTAACATTTTAAATTAAACATTAGACAACCATTACAATTTATAAATGTAAGGTGCCATTACTGAGTAAATAGATTTCCTCCAGAGTGAATGTGTCCCTTCTCCCACCAACAACTAATGAGGCAGCAATATTCATTCGTTAGTTGAATTTTATTAGTAGATGAACCCTCCTGCAAATATTCTCATTTCCACCCTCCGTGTGTGCATGTGTGCGTGCGTGCGCGCGCGCGCGCGCGCGTGTGTGTGTGTGTGTGTGCACGCGCGAGCGCGAGTGCATGCATGCGTGCATGCGTGCGTGTGTGTGTGTGTGTGTGTGTGTGTGTGTGTGTGTGTGTGTGTGTGTGTGTGTGTGTGTGTGTGTGTGTGTGTATGTGTGTGTGTATGTGTGTGTGTGTGTATGCATGCACCGACCATCTCTTCAATGCCATCAACAGCAAGATGAGTTTGGCTTCGGCTTTCGGTGCAGATTGACCGTGTTTGTCTGAATCAGATGATCTGACTTCTCTTCTGAAGCCAGAACTTTTCGAACGGCCTCCTCAAAGGCAGCTGCGACATTGGTGGAATCCTTTGCACTTGTTTCAAAGTAAGGATGGCCGCCGTTGTCCTTGCACCAGGCTTGGGCTTCTTCTATAGACACCTGCCGTTCGTTTATGTCAACCTTGTTGCCCAAAACCACAAACGGAAAGCTCTCGGGCTCTTTCACATCAGCATAATACAGGAATTCTTTCTTCCAGTTATTCAGATTCTGGAAGCTTTGAGAATCATCAACACTAAATGTAAGCAGGCAACAGTCAGAACCTCTATAAAATGGTGTCCTCAGGCTTCGGAATCGCTCTTGACCAGCTGTGTCCCAAATCTGCATGGTAACAAAATGTCCATCCACCTCCAAATCTTTATTTAAAAATTCCACACCTATGGTGTGGAAGAGCTGAGTATCAAATTTATTGGTTACATATCTGTTCATAAGAGAACTTTTGCCAACTCCACCATCTCCAAGAAGAATTACTTTAAAGAGAGATGATTTTCCTGCCATTATTAATAGTATGAGTTTTTATTTCAGATTCCTGTAAAAAAAAAAAGGGGGGGTAGGTACCATTACATGCCTTTATACTGTTTCGATCCACACAATTCTAATAAAATCAACATTTAAATAAAATAAGAACACATGATTCTTCCTTGCAAAGGAACTACCCAAATAATGAGAATTGTCATTTACTGTCACTTAGACATGTACCAATCCCTATCCATTTTCATTTGTTATTCCCCAGAAATAACAGTAAAGTCTCACTCTTGCCCTTCCTTGCACCACAGCTGACTGTGAAGCTAGACTCACACCAAATCTAACCTCAGAGACCTTTCTGAGCCATCACTATCATAAACTCCTCTAGCCCCAGCCACCCTAAACTGATAGAGGTGGCAAGAGTCCAAAGTCCATAGGTTTAACAACGTTAAACAGCTTCTCAATCCCCAGTTCACTGATAGATGTTCCTACTGCCCTTCCCCCTTGTTATTTCAGATATAGGCGCTATTGAGTAGGAAAGTCAGAAGCTTTCAGAATCTCACTGATTCAGATAAGAAATAAAAACCAATCAACCACAAAGTACAATAAATTTACTGTCTTCATTGGCAGCACTATTTTGAGTTGCTAAGATCAGTGACAGCAGCATGGAATTTCTCATATAATAGAGCATAAGACTCATAAAACTCATTTGGGCAGCTCCAACTCTTAGCAAAAATGTACCCATGCTGTGTTCTCCTCTGCTCCCCCTGCCCCGTGTGTGTGTGTGCGTGTGTGCGTGTGTGCGTGTGTGCGTGTGTGCGTGTGTGTGTGTGTGTGTGTGTGTGTGTGTGTGTGTGTGTGTACATATAAGCATGCATGAAGGACAGAGGTCAATGCCAGATGTCTTCCACCATTTTTATTTTTGAGCAGGGAGGAGGAGTTTTAGACAAGGTCTCTCACCTGAAGCTCCACTGATGTTGCTATGCTGGATGGCCAGCAAGCAAGCCAGACACCCTCCTGTCTCTGCCTCACTGGTGCTAGCATTATGGGTACATTTCCATAGCCAGTTTTTTACATGAGTACAGGGGGTCCCAACTCAGGTACTCATGCTTGCAGAACAAGCACTTTAGCAACTGAGCCATCTCCCCAACCCCACATGTGTGTATAAAGTAAAGCGAAAATCAATCTTAAGTGAAAATGTGCTAGTACACAATACATATCCTTTAAAGCAGTCTAGGTGCAAAATTTTAAAACTTTCCTACACTACAGGAGTCAGTCTGTGGGGGTGATACTTCTGATGCCTGTGACTGATGGCTACTTCAGTCCCCTACTGATGGCACGGTCCCTACTTGATGTTTTGTTTTTATTTCATTGTAAAAAAAAAAAAAATCAAAGCCAGACAGTTGTGGCACATGCCTTTAATCCTAACACTTGGGAGGTGGAGGCAAAGGCAGGCAGATCTCTGTGAGTTAAGTCTCATCTACAGAGTAAGTTCCAGGACAGCCAGGGCTACACAGAGAAACCCTGTCTCAAAAGACAACACACAAAAAATTAAAGATGCACAAAACTTCTGGGTGGAAAAGCCCATAAAACCTAACCCCATCTTTACCAATTATCAACCTAAGGCAAAACCTGTTTGTTCCATAACTCCTATTTGCCTTTGTTTCTATGTAAGTTGAAGCAAACTAAATCATCTAATATGTAAATATTTCAAATTTAAGTATGTTAAGTAGATTAAATTTTATGAAGGAAAATTAAGTTTCTTACATCAGCACTGTCCAAAAGATTTTTACATAATGATGGAAAGGTCCAACATGGTACTCATTAGCTGTATGTGGCTGTTGAGCACTTGATTAATAAGAAACTGAATTTAATTAATTTAGGTGCTGGGGATCAGGATTTTTGCATGCTAAGCATTAAGACATCTACCACTGAGCTACACTTCTGGCCCCATTTATTTAATTTTAGTCTAATTTAAATGGCCACATTTAAAAAGCATTTAGTTATACTGGACAAGAGTTCTAAAATAAAAATCTCATCAGCTTTATCATGAAATTGGATATCGTTGACTCCCATGGTGGGAAAATAATAAAAAAATGAAGAATAATTGCTTTTTACTAGGACGAATTTCTATAACCAATGTAGCAGACATTATCTGTTTGTCTCTTTATTAAATGTGAAGGTATTTAGTATTACTGAATATTTCTGTAACATAAAAGAATTCTGCATTTCTAACTATATTTCTACTATTCTGGTAAAAAAAAAAAAACAGCAGTTTAGATAGTGAGAGAAATCAAACTAGTGGAAAAATATGAATAAAAAATGATCAAAATCTGGCTGTGGTGGTATATGACTGTAATCCCAGCACTCGAGACAATGGCAAGAGAAGCACAAGGTTGAAGCCAACAGCAAGCCTCACATAGCTTATGCTTACCCAGGTTTATAATGCTATCAAGAGGTCCTGGCAAGTGACTGACCAACCCCACCTAGGTTTATGTAAGCACCCTGGAGGATGTTCACATTACACTGAAGTCACGTAATGATGCATTTCTCAGAATGTGTTCCCACTGTGCTGTATTTCAACACAGAGAAAACATCTAAAACTTATTCATCATTATTAAAATTTTCTAATGGTTTATTCTTCAGGCTTAACTTTGACTTGGCCAGCCCACAACAACTGCTGTATAACCATTTCCTACCAGATCAGAACCTACCATTTTGGAGGGAATCTTAAGATAGTATTTACAAGGAAGTGAAATACCCACAGAAGCTCATTAAGACAGGAATTAAACAACTCTTAGAAAGTCCCTGAATCTGACCAGATTCACTAAACCCCTCCCTCCCCAAGAGTGAGAGAAAGGGAAGGAGGGGGAAAATAAGGAGAGAGAGAGAGAGAGAGAGAGAGAGAGAGAGAGAGAGAG